TTCTGAATGAACTAGGTTTTGGACAAGCATGGGTTGAACAAGGAATTGAAAATGCAGACTATTTTCTTGAAAATGGTGAAGCAGAGACTGAAAATATTTTGAAGCTACAAACTAGTTATAAAATAAATAACATTAATCAAATGGCATATCAGCATCACGCTCACTACAAAATGAATACACAATATTTTTTATTTTGAAATTTTTATTATAAATCTGTTTCATTTATGATATCTTGATAAACAATATCAGATTCCAGCTGGAAAAAAAACCTTGCATAGAGCATTTAACTACAGTTAAAACAAAGGTGAAATACAGGTAAATACTGCCAGTCCTATCCAGGCACCGACTCCTTTTAACAACATTTTCCCTAATGTGGAGGAATCGAGAACAAGCTGGAGGAGGTGTTGCTTGGGCAGTGTAATACAAAAGAATCACCAGTCAAGAAATAAAAATATTCGATTCAGCTAAGCTTGTCATGATCGGAATAATCTTAATGTGCACATCAATTGCAGTGCGCACACCAAACGGATCTGGAGGGGTGTTACCTTATATCTGCAGCATCGCCTCGTCAATCATTCGTCCGGAAGACGGAAGAATTTAATTAACTCATTTATAAACACGCATAAATGTGCTGTTTTGCTAATTCACAAAACCCAGTGATATATTTCATTCCTGACCTAGTCATGTTTGTGAGAATTACGAGTATATGCTTGTATGGCACCTCGAATGTTTTGTCACTATATTATAAGCATGGTGGTTATTTTTATCTTCATATTCTGCTTCATCTTTGTCTGTTGGTTAAAACCATATTATGGACCTTTCTATCCTTCATGCATCAAGACACACTTTCTTTCTCCCTTACAAGATTGTCTTTTGGTAGTTTAGTTCTTTTTAGGACCCCAATCACCCCCGAATTTGTTTGGTCAGCCTCTGTCTATGGGAGCTTTGCTACTACGATCTCTATGGCCACTACACGCTCTTCCACCGGCAAGTGTTTAGGTGTGATATCAGTGAAGAACAAAATAAAAATGTCTACCCTACATCAGATAACACTAGTACTCCATGCATATTCTGTACGCCCGAGATCCACCAGCCAGGCTATCCATCACATTCATGATTGTCAATTACACTGGTTCCATTTGGTGGAGTGAGGCTATTTTTGAGTTAATGAAAAACACCAACTTCGTGAGCCAAGGGTGTTCAATACGATACTCTCCTAAAACGGAGAGTATCCTATTGAACACCCTTGGCTCGCGAAGTTGGAATATTCCTAGCGCTTCAGCAACAGGAATATAATTTAGAATCAAATAAGGAGCTAGCTATATATAGTTGGATATAAATTATAATTGTATTTACATTTCCTTTGTAGATAGTCTAACAAAAGCAAGAACCATTTCATGTGATAATGTGAATGTTTTTATATCGGGTTTCTTCAGGTTTTGCATTCAAACTGTTTGAGTTTTTGAGGTACCAATCATGATGTGAGGTCAAATTCAGATTATGATGGAGTTCTTGTATGGTTTCTGATGGACATTTGCCGCCTTGGGGAACTGGTAGCCAGGGAAAGCACGATCATGTTCCCACAAAAATGGCTGTTCAACAAATTCAATTAGCAGTTTGTATTAAATATAATTTTAAACCGAAGAAAACAACATAGAACATTTGAAATATTTTTCGTTGTTGTTTTGAACGTAAATATTGTAAGTATTGCTAGGCATCTTTTTAACACAACATCATATCAGATGGAAGATCAAATCAAAAAGGCATCAAAATGACATCCTTTTCTCCAGATTTTTTTTTTGTAGAAAGTGTCAACCAAACTATTTCATTCGTTATAAAAATATGTGGTAACAGTTTTATTTAGAAAAGAATATTTCGGTCTTAACTTTAAAAATCGTTATGTTCAATTTTATTGATAGTTAGTGCTCATGATCATTTCACATTTGGAATTTTATACAGATGCTGTAATGTTAGCAAAAAACATACTTTCATTTTCAGATATGATAACGGTAGAAAAAAAATCCAATGTAAATTTATTGACAACTGATGGTACTGCCGTAAATAATCATTATCTGTGACAAAATATTTCGTTACATGTTAACAATCACATATTTTGAACGTTTGTTAAATGTTAGGCAAAACATACTTTTGCGTACAAATATGACAATGCTTATATTATATCCTATATATCAAGTCATTTTATTGAAATGGCTATTTCTAAAATCCACAGTATAATGGGGGAAAATGTATCTAACCTACAGTTAGTACCCCATATTGCAGGTAACGAGAGGGACACTGCATGAGAATTCATAGAACAATTATTGTTTCATTAAGGTAATATTTTGGTAACCTGTAAACTGTATTTCAAAACCGAAAACAAATATCAAAATATTAATTCTTAAGCGAGTGACGTACATTGACCTTCTTTTCGCCAGAATCGAAAAATAATTCAAGAAATTGAAAGATATACCAAAACCTGAGCATGGACGTTGATTACCACTGCATTCAGTGTAAAGATATGTGGTCACTTCTCTGCACAGAAAATATTAATTCTGTCTCTGGGTACAAATAATAATAGGTATTGGCCTAAAATGTCATGAAAAACTCCAGCAAAAGCTTAGTAAAAGTCAGCTTCTGCATTGTGTACAGATGTCTTAATATTCGTCATCAATTTCCACTTTTACATAATTTTACTTAATATTTATCAAGACTTGGCAATCCTACAAATGGTATAGCCCCCCTCCCCTCTGACAGAACTTAAATACGTGTAGTGGCAGGTCGAGGATAACCATTTAGAGTCAGGTAAAACAAAGACCAGGTGACAATAGAGGGATATATCCCCTATTGTTTAGGGTAGTGAAATAAGTTGGGCAACACCCTCACGGCTATACCCATTGACAATGCTGGCCAGGGGAAGCCATAGAAAACCTTGGTTCAACATTTTAACAAGAATTCACACATGAAATGGAGGAAAATCTTCAAAATGTATTTGAGTCATATTAATTTTTGACACAGAAATAGGGTGTTGCCAGAGCAACTAGGGCAACACCCCTGTATCCGCCTCTGTCAAGGCTCATATAATCAGACCATTTCACATCTTCATCTCACCTGTGCGAAGGGCAAATGTCGTTATGCAGCATCCATCGCCTGACAACTTTTTCTTTAAACGACTTCTTTTGAAGAATGGAAAGGATTAGATTCATGCTTTTTGGCTGGTAGTTTTATTGGTTAGAGTCCGATAAGGGTCATACATGTCAGAAACTTTAAACGACTTCTTCTGAGGAACTGAAATCATAGTATATTGCTGGTAGCATCATGGGAAAGAGCCAAATAAAGTTTACGAATGAAAATGACCTCGACCTATTTTATGAAGAACTGAAAGGCATAGGATCTTGCTATTTGGCTGGTAGCATGTTGAGAAGATGCCCAACAAATTTTGCGAATGAAATTACATTGACCTGCTTTCTATAAAGAACCGAAAGAGATCGATTCCTGATATATACCTGGTGGCTTCCAGGTATAAACCCGGACAAAGTTTCAAATGAAGACCAGAAAGGCCTAGGATCATGATGTTTGGCCAAGATCAAGCAGAAAGAAAGGGCTCTCAAGTGATCATGAATGACTTTGACCAACTTTCAAGGTCACATGTGTCAAATGTGTTACAATATTTAAATAACTTATTCTAAATAACCCGATACAATAAAACACTGAGTGTATGATAGAACTGAGGGTTTTCATTTTTTTCCCCAAAAGGAATGGCATATCCCAATTTTCAAGGTCTAGGGGTGAAATCTGCTAGAAAAAGGTCTTGCTGGGATGAAGGGCTAAAAAGTTTGTTTAAAATAATGTTTTGACGCACTTTCTAGGTCACAGGGGTCAGAGGTATTAAAATCCTTAAACGACCTCTTCTCAATAACCATAGTCATAGGGATTAAGGGCTACCAAATTAGTTCAAATGAATGGCCTTGTTAGACTATATGAGAGTCATATGTGGATATTTAGCTTGTAGTTTTATTTGGTCTATTTAAATATGTTTTACCTCGGTCCACTTTTAAGCTTAAAAGTGCGAGATTAAGACCTGGTTAACGATGCAGGCCCATTGGACCTCTTGTTTACTTTTGTATCAATGTGGTAATGTTAGCAAAAGCATACTTTTACATTCAGATATGATAACATTAGAAAAACTCTACTTTCACATTATATATAAAATACAGATATAAATAATTTTCAACTGTGACAAAACATTTCGTTTTGTATTTAGATGTATCGGAGATATATCATTTCATATATATGGAACATATATATGTTGTTGATTTCGTGGAAAAACTCGTACAATCACCGATGTGGTCGGCATATAAATAGAACTGTTGCCTTAGGATTATATATACTGGTTTTTTAAAACGGTACATACTTTAGCCTTTTTGCATGCAATGCTTGGATTTCGTCTCTCCAAAATTAGTTAAAAAATTATCGTTCTGACTAAGCTGGTTGAAATTCAATCTTTCTGGCTTGGTGCAAATGAGGAAACAGCTTTTCAAACTGTCACAGCTGTAAAGAGTATACAAAAAAAATCATCATTTGTTCTTACTGTTAATTTATTAAGACTTTTTAAATCATAGACTTTTCAAAAATATCTGCTGTCATCGTATATTAACAAAACCGCACTTAATCATCTAAAGGATATTGTTACTGTTAGACTGTTCAATACTACTATAATAGCCTTATTTCATATAATATCATTTATATTCTTTTGCATTTTTACGGATGTTGTAATTTTATGTAAGCAAACACTTATTTCGCGTACAAACATGACAACAATAGCGAAACATTGTGTCTGTATTCTAGGGGAAATGTATAACCCTAAACTCGGTACCACGTATTACACACACACAATAGTAGTAAACGCGCATATATTAGTAAACAACTGGCGTCATGGCTACTTTTAGATCCGACGATTTGGCTACATTTTCAATCCACAAAATCAGCGACACGTACGTTTAAAATCTTGGAAAATCCTACTTTCTCTTCTTACTTGTATATAATGCTTACAGCCCCTATTTACATGTATAATACAGTCAACGAATTGAACATAACAGTGGCATCGACCTAAAGTCGATAATTATGGACGGGATACAGCATCCTTTTAATGTTCTTCTTTTGTGTGGCATTCTAGGTAATCCTTGATACTACTATTATCAGGCAGATCCGGATGTTCGCTGTGCGAAATACATTATGACTAATAGATGAAAATATGTCTTTAAAATGCTCAGGTTATTACAACGGTTTTTTACATTATATACAGAAAGCAATGTTAGTAAAATATACTTTCATTTTACATATAGATTATACAACGTAAGTAAAGATATACTTTCACATTGTATACCGATAACACCGTTTGTTAAAATATGCTTTTAAATTTTTTATACATAGTAAAATTTAAGTAAAAACCTACTTTCACTTTCACTTTCAGATTACATAGATTTTCATATTATAAATATATTGCGCAATGTTAGTAAAAACTACTTTTCACATTACATTAAACAGCGCAATGCTGATAAAAACAAACGTACTCATTATATATAGATATTGCATCGTTCGCAAAACATAATATAAAGATAGCACGTAAGCAAAAACATACTTTCACATTTTGTATTGATAGCACAGTATTAGTAGCACACTTTCGCAGTAAAAATATATATACTTTCACATTATATTCCGATAACACAACGTTTTAATATGCAATTGTATATACATAGAACAATTTTAGTAAAAACAGACTTTCACTTTCAGATTATATAGAAATATCGCAATGTTAGTAAAACATACTTTTAAATAATATCTAGAAGAAAAAATGCTTTTTATAAACAGTACAATGCTCGTAAAAACAAAATTTGACATTATGTATAGAGAAAGCTTTTAAACAACATACATAAATATAATACAATTTTATTAAAAACGTCTTTAAACATAACATACATAAATATAAAACAATGTTATTAAACACGTCTTCAAACATAACATACATAAAATATAGTACAATTAAATGTTATTAAAAACGTTTTTAAACATAACATACATAAAGATAATTTAATGTTTATTAAAAGATACTTTCAAAATATATGTAGGTAATCTAATGTTTGTAAAAAAATATATAAGTTACCATTGCATACAGATAACACAAGGACAGTAAAAATATACATATGTATCTTCACCATATATGCAGCTAATACAATATTATTAGCATATAGATAACCAATGTTAATCAAAACAAATTTTCACATTATATAGAGAAAAGGCAATGTTTTTCTCACGATGTTACAAGTTATACGATAAAAAAATATCAGCAATGAAGATATTTTCAAATTGCATACAGCTATAGCATTTATTGTAAAAAATAGTAACACCATGCAAGTCGAGGTGTTTTTTTTTATTAAGAGAGACACTTTCATACTATGTTCATTAACTTAACCCTGTTGTATGTTCGTAGCTATTGACCAGCTCTTTGATTGTATTCTTCACATAATTATTGTCACAAATATTTTATTTGTTTCCATACTGCAATGCTATGAGGACATGAGGTAGCGTTAACATATCATTGCTGACATCACAAAATGTCACTATGTCGACGTTATAGATTATCGACAAACGGCTATTGGATACTTGACCGATATTTTATCTTTATTTTCAGTATATTTATGTTGTTCTATACCTAAGGACACAACCATGGATGATCATGATATTCGTCAGCTTCAAAACTTGACATTTACCTTAATTATTAAAGAATGATCACCTATTAAGCAAATTCTGTAGCAAATCTGATTTGTTAGGCCATCGTCAATTTACTTACCTTTTTCAGTTGTTCACGTCTGATTCTTTGTTTCTTAGCTCATGACGATTGTGATAATAATCTTCATAGATGCATCATGTTGTTCCGTGCATTTCTTAGCCAAAACTGTAAAACAAAACGTGACAATATTTCCATCATATGGATTCTGATGTCTTTCAGGATCAAACGGCAAACTTTCCTGGACTTGACAGGAAATATCATGACGGTTGCAGGAAAGTCTAATTTTATATTGAATTATGTTTTTGCATGATTTCATGTCATTTAGCTTTGTTTTTGGTGTCTCGTCGATCGGTTTTGCTGTCGTCTTTTTCCTATTTCCATATCCAGTTTGTCCTTGTATGTTTATGCAACAGTATATATTTTTCATAAAATTTAGTACAGGAAGAAACCTTGATATTTACATTCTCCCGATAAAACATATCCTCGAAATTCCAGGGGTTACACTCGATTACGTTCCCTGCACCCCTGGGATATGTCATGAGAAAAGTGAGGCACAAAGTTAGATAATTAATTGGCGGTTTCATGTATAAAAGGACTGACCAATCGCTAGGCTGTTACATGTCCTTTTTAAGATTACAAAGGAGCGACACCCGACTTCTTAGCATGTCAATGTTATCGTTATGCAGCTTGGGTCCTTTTGATGAACATCAAAGGATCAACTAGTCTATCTCTCAAACGCAAGGTTGTGCAAGCAGAGCCTCAAATTTGGTCATGACAAACTTTAGGGGTGCCGAGAATGTAAGCGAGTTACCACTGGAATCTTGAGGATGCCGATAGCACTACCTTTCATAATATGTCATTTACAGCAGGTTTGATTTCAAATTAATTTGATTGTTAATACAAATAAAGATAATTACAAGTAAGACAGAATGAATATAACTACATATGTTTTAACAAAGGGGATAAGACAACAGTCAGCCTCGATTATCCAGGGGTTCGCTTATGGCAAGCCAAGTTGTCATTTATGCATGGAGCAATGTTGCTCCAGTACTTAACCAAATTATATAAGATATCTTATTTACTTATATAAGATATCTTATATACTTCATGAGATATCATATATACTTTATAAGATATCTTATATAATAAATGAGATATCTTATATATTTTATAAGATATCTTATATACCTTTCTTTATAAGATATCTCATAAAAGATGTAAGATATCTTATAAAGAAAATTAATTGAGATATCTTATAAAAGATATTAGATATCTTATATATTATATATAAGATATCTTATAAAAGAAATCAGATATCTAATAAAGAAAGGTTTATGAGATATCTTATATCTTTTATAAGATATCTTATATACTTTACAAGGTATCTATAAAAGATATAAGATATCTCATAAACCTTTCTTTATTAGATATCTGATTTCTTTTATAAGATATCTTATATACTTTATAAGATATCTTATATAATATATGAGATATCTTATATATTTTGTTTAAGTACTGGATCAACATTGCTCCATGAATAAATGACAACTTGGCTTGCCATATTCGCTCACTTTCGCTCTCTGCACCCCTGCACCCTATATATCATAGCAAATTTTAAGGTACGCGGCTAGCTATTTGATTGGTGTCAGGTTACAAAAAACCTGACCAATCACTACTTGTCCTTTGAAGATTACAATGGAGCGACGCCCGACTTCAACGTCAATAGATTTTACCGTTCAAACTGGTCTTCTCGTCTCATCCACAAGGCAGTGCACACTGAGACCTCGATTTTGCTCGAAAGGCGATGGACAACAGGCTAAGCCTATATTTTATTTTCTATAGATAACCGGAATCCAATTATTTTAATTTCATTAATATATATATATAAGTTTTGAGTGATAGATAGTAGGACAATAACGGAATAAATGATTTATGTGCTGTAATGAAAGAACGCCTTCTCACTCACAGCGGGTTAGTCTGGTCATACTTTGTATAAGGGCTTCTTTCTAAACATCATGATGACATTTTGATGATAAATAGAATAGTCACCGCTCTGTGCTGTTTACGTGGTATCTCAAATCTTCTTCTTTAGGTCTGGTAACCTGCCAAGGTGATATCAAGGACTTTGCTGTATGTGAAGGGTTCGGCTGTGAAGATCCCATTACATCTGAGTTTATGTAGGTATTACATAATATCCTTACTCTTTGTTTAAATTGTGATCCCCCCCCCCCCCTAAATATTTCTAGCTTGTCATTGAAATATCCTTACACCTTTTCATTGGAGGCAGCAATGTAGTTATCTATTTTATAACATTGACAAAGACGTTTAAGTTACCAAATTTAAAATGGTAGTTCTTATTGCCTGCTTACGTTCAGCGTTTAAGGAAATGACAAACACTGGTTGACCCGTTGTCAGTATAATGTGACCTGGCGGAATGCTGTGCTGAGTGCCTTCGGCATGGTGTTTCAGTGAGATAGCACTATCAATTTGGCATCAGATCCGCGCTATCACAAGGAGATAATATGCACAATAAGTTGTTATAACTTGAATAATTCGTCCTCAAAATCCCAGGGGTAATGCTCACTACTTTCTCTGCACGTATATAAGCGCGACCAATGGATTCTCGAGGATGAGGTCAACTTGGTCACGGTTATACATGTACGGAAAAAGATGAAGATAAATGGTGTGTTAAATATCACGGTTCTTAAACCGAGTAGGTGAAAACATTTCATCATTGTAAATATTCATTTTTCAAATTGTACAGGCATTCCTATTCAACTACAGAAAATCAGGCAGACGAATCTGGATGGGATCGTAAGTAAAATAGACTGATATACCATACTTAAACACTAGTCATATTTAAAAAGAGAAGTATCAAGTATTACTAACGTAAATTGTACATCTGTAGCAAAGCAAAAATACATGAAATGTGGTAAGGTGTAAATGTCTAGTGAATCTAGAAAATGAAAGGTTGATCATATTTTCAATGAGAGTTCACTCAGAAATCTTAACAGCAAAGTTAATTGTAAAGTTTTACTCAGAAACCGAAACGTTGTTCGACCTTTATAATAGCATTTAAGGATCCCTGTCTCACTGCAGGAAAAACACTAGATAATTCCACTATATTTTTTCGACATTTTTGTTGGATATACAACTGTATATGAAGTGCGACTTTGCCAGTCTATTAACGTACGCTGGCCCGACAGATGAAAAAGATTTCGGCAATGGTGCCGGGATCTTTAAGCTATGATAAGAATATTTTAGCTATATCATTTCAACAAAGTTGGTCCAGTAAAACTACATGACCTTTATATCCATCGACAATGATGTAAATTAGTTCACATTCTATGATGATATATAAGCAGTGCTTTTTTGTTGAACGTTTCAATGTACATGTTACAGATACCGTAAACTGTAGCGACCTAAGCTATGCCAGCAAAGCTCAGTGGGGAGGCAAGACAACAGCAAAATACGAAAACATGAAAAAGAAAGTAAGCATCGTTTTCATCCATCACACTGTTCTAAGTCACTGTTCCACGGGGCCCGACTGTGTCCATGCGGTGAAGAAGGTTGATGAACTCCACAGAGGTTCGTTTGGCTGGGATGATATTGGATACAGCTTTCTTGCTGGTGAGGACGGAAGGATTTACCAAGCACGTGGATGGGACCGCGTCGGTGCACACACAATAGGGTTCAACAAAATAGCAATCTCTATATGCGCTATGGGGAATTTCATGCTCCAGGCTCCAGACCAGAAATTGCTGGATGCAATACAATCTCATCTTGACTGCGGTGTGGTTTCAGGCAAACTGGAACCCGATTACAAGCTGTATGGTCACAGGGATGCTATCGATACTGAATCTCTTGGAGATTTCCTGTACGACATCATTAAAACATGGCCTCATTTCGATCGGGACACCCCTCGGAAGATCAAACCCCCGATTCTGTAATCCTTTTACAAGTGATATATATAGCTTTTTGAAATACTCTTCATACTTTTTGATATTGTTGAATTTAATTCAAGCATGCAGTAGTATTTTAGCTGATGTGGATTCATGTTCTGTCTTTGTCCTTCATGCACGTTCCGTTATCTTTTTTTTTACATTTTAAACTTAAAAGGCAAATTCTACTGAGCTGATTTAGCCGAAAATATGAAAAAACTCAAATACATATATGGCCGCAATGGCAGCCGTCTTTGATTTTTTTTTTATATATACTTAAATTCAAATTCTATTGGAATGATTTCACTGAAATTTATTTGAAATGATCCGCGTAGAATTCAAACCAATTCTTGCTATTTTAAAGGATCTGATTTCGAAATCCAATTCATCCGCCATGGGAGCCATCTTGAAAATCCTTTTCTACCTTAAAATTCGAATTTTGCTGGAATCTTTTTCGCTGAATATAATTCAGTGATTGATGTATGGTCAAAACCAATTTTCGTTATTTTTAGCCGATTTGAATATGGTAGCCATCTTGAAAGTCAATTTTTAACGAAAACATCATTACTGGTTTTGCTGAAATAAAAGGTGATTTATCAGTTCATTGTCCAGAGAAATTTCTGCTATTTTGAAGCTGTTTTGAAATAGTTTCCATATGATACTGGCTATCTTGAATATATTTTATTTTTAACTAGTTTAACTAAATTGATTTTAATGTAATTTATTTGAAATGATCGGTGTATGGTATTGATGAATGTTTTAGACCAATTCTTGTTGTGTTTTTTAACCGAAATGTATTGCATGCCATCAATTTTTTTTAAAGCAACAAAGACAATATTACTTCATCGTGATTTGTGGTTTCATTCAGTTCAAAAACTGTTTTATCAAATGGAGGAACAGCCGTTTTGCTGTAACAATTTAATTGACACTGTAATTTCTATGGTTGCATATTAAGTTCTGTCAGGCAGCGAACATCAAACAGAAACCGAATCACTCATAACTTAGTTTGATGTCATGATTGGACCTCTATTACTCACAGACAGTTTTCATGAATGACCCAAGCAGTTTCCGATTGGAAAATATCCACGTTTACAGCACTTTTTGTTGGTAGATTTATCCAAGGGCTGAGCAAAGAAAATGTAAATATTTGTACTTGTGTCTATGTGTCCATTTCTGTATTTATTCCATCTAACTTGTTTAAGTTTGCATTAAGTTTCCCTGTCCTCCTACATGTACTGACCATTTTGCTTAATGTCTTGTCGTTTATTTTGAACTCTTTGAATAATAAATTATATATTGAGTGACCTCTTTGTTTGTTATTATTTTACAGATGTATTTTGTGGACAATGGGGTAATGCAATGAATTATGTTGTCAAAATGGAAGATGATATCACAAAGAACTGTTATTTGACATCACTAAAAGAAGATTGACCATTGATAAAATGTCCAGGGTGTTACCCAAAATGTTTACAAACTCCTAGCAGTTTTATTCTATGAGTAAGGAGCGAGGAAACTTATAGTGGTTAATATAAACTTTATGGAACATCTTATTTCAACTTATGTTTATCTGGCGAAAAAAAAAAAAGTCTGGTTAGGGTTGCATTGGCAAAAAAAAAAGGGGAGGTAGGTCAGATTTTTTTTTTTTTTATATTTTTGGTCATGTGATTATGACCCTACTATTGTATGTAAAACAGAGAATTACATAAACAAGGTTCATTTGGAGGCAAATTCTATTCTGCTCCATATGATGACATTTAGCGCCAACACAGAGCTGGAAGCCATTTTGAAAGGCAAGGATCCTTCTAAAATTCGAAAATCAGCAGGGTTTTTTGGGGGGGTTTTTTCATCAAAAAGTTTTGGGTCGGGGTAAAAAGTTAGGGTCGGTCGGGAACCCTAAACAGAAACCTTTTTTTTTGGCCTCACTGTTGTTGGCCTGGATGTAAGTGCACGGGGGATCAACGTGGTTGGGCAAGTGACGACGTACCTTTTCACGTTTGATCGGGGAATCAAATACTGGCCGCCTTGGTGAAAGGCAAGTGCCCTATCCACTCCACCACCTGACCACCCTTATAGTGGTTGTTAGATTGTTTATAAACCCTTTCATCCCTATGTAACTTAAGTAAACTCTACCATGTATTTATCTGGATGAGTCCATTATGGTCTACATTCATTCTGTTTGAAAGAAAAACGTTTCTAAATTAAGATGCCCACTCATTATCACCAATACCAAGCACCCTTACTACATCATTAATGCACATGAATACTGTTATACAAGTACCAACTGTTTAATTGGTAAAAGTGAGCAACTGACCAAAGACACATCTTTCACAGACAAATATTGAAATGACAAATTGAAAGTTGATTTTTTTATTGAAGAGTTTTGAGAATTTTTTTTCATATCCAGATCCCTTCAACAGTGGCTGAGCTACCAATATACACTTCTTAATTATAAGTGCTATCTTTGAGACTTTCAACAAGAAAAATATTTTCTATAAATATTTATTACAACTTTTTAACAGGACATTTCACTCAAAACAATTGCCCCACAAGTACACAGTCGCTTTGAAATGATGAAATCATTTCAGCATGTAAAAAGTTTGCTCTATAATGTATCGCAAGATGTTCTTTAACATCACACTGCTGGTGAAGACACGTTAGCGAGACAATTTTGTGTCGTGATCCTTTGTTTCCATTTCACGAACAGTAGCAAGCTCACTCTCAGAGGCAGTGGGGGGGTCCCCAGACTCGGCAAACTGACCCAAGTCCTCATCATAGTAACGGTCACAACGTGTCGTCTTGTACTCGTGCCTGGCACGGTCTGGGATCTTCGTTAACTTCACACCTAGATCTTCAAGCGTGGGTAGACCGGTTGGCTGGTCATTGACAAAGTCCTTCAAAAATAGTCAAAAAACAACTAGATGTAAGTTATTTACAACAACAGTGGAACCTTTCCTAGAATCATTTGAAGGGAAAATAAGAGTACCACAAGGGCGGTACTTATCGATTCTCTTACCCTGGACATGTGTATCCACACTTTTCATGTTGTGAGATATCCTTGTCTCACCCTAGGGTTGTGACGAGGAGATTGCCCTATGCATAACAATTGTATGACTGCATTTAGCATGTAACGTTAGCCCATCTTATTCCCAAGGGGTGAGAGATCCTAATAATCTTACACTGGGAAAAGTGTGGATACACCTCTTCAGGGTAAGAGAAAATACACACCCATCTCATGCCTTGTGACATCCCCTTAGACTCCTTGTATAACAGAGGGACAACCCTAGAATTCTTCCGATACATTCTTGAAACAAAACACACCAAAACATTGAAGTGAATTGAGAGGAAACTACATTTGTAGTACTGTATACCAGGAAATTTTCATCTAGTAAATTTTTCTCCCTTCTACAGTAATATCCATTTTCATCCAATACTAAATTCACCCTTCTCATTGGATTTTTATGTATACATATATTATATAATATTGTCCCTTATCATTGGATTTTTATGTATACATGTATTATATAATATTGTTTTCCCTTCTCATTGGATTTTTATGTATACATGTATTGTATAATATTGTTTTTCCCTTCTCATTGGATTTTTATTTATACATGTATTATATTATATTGTTTTCCCTTCTCATTGGATTTTTATGTATACATGTATTGTATAATATTGTTTTCCCCTTCTCATTGGATTTTTATTTATACATGTATTATATTATATTGTTTTCCCTTCTCATTGGATTTTTATGTATACATGTATTATATTATATTGTTTTCCCTTCTCATTGGATTTTTATGTATGCATGTATTATATAATATTGTTTTCCCTTCTCATTGGATTTTTATGTATGCATGTATTATATAATATTGTTTTCCCTTCTCATTGGATTTTTATGAATACATATATTATATTATATTGTTTTCCGTTATCATTGGATTTTTATTTATCACATAATGTACCGTGTTATCCAGTGAATATACCCATGTCATATTTTTTGCGTATTAACCCATGTAATATGACCTATCAGCCCTGTGATTGGTTGTAAGTTTCAATTGTTTCAATTGTGATGTCACGCCTAGGACAAGTACATGACATCACAGATTAATGCACTGGAGTCAAAATGGTGGCTTTTTACATTTCAAGGTTGCATGAGAATTGTCGTTTTACAAGAATAAATGCCAAATATCTTGATTATGTGATAAAAAGGATCTTACACTCGTTTTCATTTCATATGAAGTCAATGAAACTCGCCACAAATTTTTCAATTTAGCGAGCCTCTCGGTCATAAATCTCATATGAAATGGAAACTCATGTAAGATCCTATATGTATACATGTATTATGTTGCTCACTACGGTTTGCTGTAATGATAAATTTGCCTAATTACGGAGGACAGAAAAAGGCGAACAATTTCCAGTATACAGTATGTTACTCACTTAAGCTTATACTCAGTAATGAGCTGAAGAGAAATTTTCCTTTGCCGAGTCCGTAAAAAGCCGCTAGTATTTTTCCAACGGGTGTGACATCAGCTTATTGATAGAATACCTGGCCCCATTTGTATAAACATCTCAACTCTTGAGATTTCCTCAAGTCTAAGATTTCCCATAGACAATACATTGCTTGAGATTTTCCTCAATTTTGAGATGTTTTATACAAGTGGGGCCTGGTACTCCAATAAATTTCCTTAACTAACAATTTTCATTAAATTATTTTACGAAGACATTTATCATGTTTCACTCAATGGCCTTTTCTTTTACATCGTGTATGAATAACTGCTCACTTGAAACACTATAGACAATAAATGTGATTTAACCATAACACAAATATCGCACAAATCACAGGTAATTTACAGTAAACATCTAAAATAACTTTAATACACAGACTTACCTGGTTCAGTGTGTACAGATTATGAAGTCTGTACAGACTAAAAGGATTACGAGGGTCTACGTATCTCATTTTCATTCTGAAAATACAAAGAGAATGTTTTAACTGGTTCACATTTATACAGTAATTACTTTAAAAGTGGGAACTTTTGTGAGTTGAACTGATCCCAATGGGAGTTTTCAAACAATATAAATTGTGTACCTTTTTTAAATTTTTGTACTGATAATAATTTAGTCGAGTTAAAATACATTTAATATAATCCAAAACAATTGGACATGCGTTATAACATCTTACAAGATGTCCTTTTCCTTATAACTAATATACGGCGGTTTTATAGTGGCTGCAGATACAAAGTGGTGACTTAACCCTTTCAGCACTGTAGACCATAATGGACCCCTCCATATCAATGCATGGTAGAGTCTACTAAAGATACATAGGGGTGAAAGGGTTAAAAATATTTAAAAACAACCTAGATCACAAGGATACTATGTGTGATATAATGATACTGTAAGGGTACTTATTAAGCACACTCAAATTTTAGCACATTATCAAATTTTAACAGACTTATAGTGCATTGATGAATTGGTGCAACCGCAATTACACAATAAAAACTGATATACAGGAACTTCAATTGGCCCAATCATAATTTAACGCAATATCTAAAATAGCGCTAAAATAAGGCCATCACTAAAATATGAACACTCACAGTAGTATCATGGTAAATCGTTATGCACGCCCAACAGGCACATATACGGCAATAGGGTGGTGATCTCTACCCTTTTATGTTAAGACCTAGGGATTTCATCCCCAGGGCAAAGGCTAGACAGAATTATCACTAGCTGAGGATGCTTCCAACAAAATATGGTTGATATTCACCTAATTGTTCCAGAGGAAAAGTCACTTAAAGGAGTATGGCCAAATTACTGCGACATTTTGTAATTATGCAGTACAGAAGAAGTGGGTTGAAAAAGTTGTTGATAATCAGATGAACGACAATCTGACTGATGCTCTGGTGCAGGATAAGCTTGCTTTAGCCTTTTGGACCAGGTGAGATGAAAATTTATTCCATGCAATGGCCCAACAATGTTGCATTCCATTTTACAATCAAATGAATATATCAAACTGTATCCTTCCTATATACGACAGCAGATGATAGATGCTGGGCCCTGACATAAGTTCACAAGATCATAGTGTCAGATGAGCTAAAATATATTAATCTACAATGAAATAATTTCATAAATAACATGAAATAGAAATCATGCAATACAGTGAATCAGAATATTTTGTCTGCACTCCCATTCTGCATTACAGGAATACAAACTCGGACAACAAATCTACCCCCCACCCCCACCCCCAACACCACCACCAGGCCTGTTCCTACTCTTCCCTCCTAATACAGATCTAGATGTAGGGGTAACTTACAAATAGTTTTCAGTGAATTCCTCAAATCCCACTAATGGCCTCCTCATACAGAAATAGAAAAATTTCACCAGGTCGTGCAAGAAGTAGCTTTCTGGGCTGTTAACAGGAAGAAAACACAAATCACTGACGGGTCTTAAATGCATATACATGTATTACAGTCAAACATTGATGTTTTGATCTTTGTAACCAACGGGGAAAATTAGAAACATTGATACATTGATTCGCGAATGTTGATCTTCGAACATCTATGAGATCTAGTTTATTTAATTTGATATCTATAAATATTGTTTCATGTAATTATATATTATAATTTGCATGTTTAGGTGTTAAACTTAAAATGACCCCATGACATGTCAATGTTCTCAGGAAATTGTTTTACTTTGATTTGTTAGCTGTAATTTTCAATGTTTCCTTAACAATTGGACCGTGATTGTTGTTCGAAACTGAGATAAATTTTGACCAGGTGAGTTAAAAATGAATTTAAAACAGTTTCGGTTTCTGAACCTACCCAAGGGCTTCATATATCTGGCCTCTGGCCTCTGGTTTTCCTAGAGCAGAGATGACACCATCTACCACGTCTGAGCCCTGAAACACAAAAAATACTGAAGTTATATAGAAAATTTGATACAGATTTGAATTCACTTTTCAGCTACTGGTACATAAACCACAGTAGGTATTTAACTCATTCAACCCTGAAGACACATTTTAACTCTTCCAATTCAAAGATGGGAATAGTTCATTATGATATTTCAGGGGTGAATGAGTTAAATACCTACTTCATTTAGTTCATTTTTATGAGAAGCTGTCATCATGTTTATTTATCAGGTTTAAATAGATTACAAACGAAATGAACCAATATTGAATTTTAAGGGCAGCAAACCATTAGATAAATAGCTAAAATTTGTTTAATAAAATTGCAAACTTACAAAGACTGGCATCTTAATGGTTTCCTTTCCTTGCTTCCATAGTTTAATTTTATATTCACATCGTTTGCCCAAACCTGTAAAGAAAAATATAAATCACCTGGTGCAAAATCACTCATATGATACACAGAGCATTTTATTACCGACATCTGTTATAATTATCGCTCCTTATAATAAGCGGACACATATATATATGGTATATGTATATTCAAATTTTAGCTACATATGCAGTGATCAATCTGCAATTATTTTCACGGGTCCTTTAATTTTCAACTGTATTTCTAAAACAATTGATCCCACAATGTTAGATTCAAGTATTTCCAAAAATTCTTCGAGTCCCATCAGAATGCTATGAGTACAGGACTCAGGACCTGTATGCAGATTTATCACTGCATATGAAAAAATACAGCTGCCCTACCATGCCACGATGAATGACTATGGTTAATCATAATTATGAATTAGCTATTTTGACTAAGTTGAGGAGTCAATTTTTGCCTGTAAACATGAAATTAAATGTACCCTGCAGGACATAATAACCGGGAATATCCCACTAATCTTTAATAATTCAAAGGTTCTTATAAACCGCTTCATCACAACCAAGTGTGTAGGTCATCTCAAAGCGGTTCACAAATTACTATCCGTGGTTATAGAAAACTTAACTTCAATCAAAGAATAGCGTTCATCAGGATTTTATTTCATTTGGTACTTAATTTGACGAATTAGCGACAGATCTTGAGTTACAATACGATCATACAGCTTCTTATACATAGACTAAAAATATATTTTACCACAATGTATTTCACATTGATATGATGCTGATATAGAGGCAGCAATGCCTGCGTCCATGAATATCCTATTTAAACATTTTAAATTAACAAAAGTGATGGTAAATTTAACAGTATCAATCCACAAGAATCACTTACATATCAAACTATAAAAGTATTCCTAGCATAGACATGTGTTATGTTCAAGAGTTAGTGAGAAAAAACGGTCAGGTTTACTTAAAGGTACTTGAATGGCAGCCTATTTGGTATTGTTTAGAGTTTAGTCATATCAATTTCTTTTGGCAAAATTACAAATAATAATAATAATTCAAGGTTCTTATATACCGCTTTATCACAATCTGGTTCGTATGTCGTCTCAAAGCGGTTCACACATTATTATCCGTGTTTATAGGGCTTTGCAACCAGCCAGTATCTTTCTCAACACCCACGGGAGCATAGTCATCGCTGCCATTTCGGCACTCACAGCTAGCATTCAACAATTCTAGCACTGCCCAACCATGTACTCATTTACAGCTGAGTAGACTGGAACAAGCAGAGTAAAGTATCTTGTTCAAAGATACAACACAGTGCCGTGATGCGACTCGAACCTGCAACCTTTCGATCATGAACCCGGCGCCCTTCCACTAGACTAGCTACCGTGTCTTCATCTTTCTAATGCAAGGAACATTCCCTTCTTCGAGGTTTGTCCTAACTAAACAATTTGGAATCAATGTTTTTCCTAGTCTTGGAACTTTTTGTCGATAACGTTTACTTACCAATGTAGTAAAACTTTCTCAAGAATCGATCACTGTCTCCGAACATGATTGCTGGCCGGAATACAATGGCCTCAGGAAATTCTTCTCGAACAGCAAGTTCACCATAATACTACAAAATCAAATTGTGTGTTCTTACGTTTACAGGGGTGTTACTTCAAAAGGACAAAAGTTTTGGGAGAAACTGAAACAATTTCATATGTTGACTATTACGAAGTTGTTTTATGATGCAAATCTGGCATAAAATGCCTTTAATGTGCATTGTACAAGTGGATGTCGTAAGCTTTACAATAAGATCGGTTTGGCGATTATTTCACTGTATTATTATAAACATATCTTTTGAATTCTATTTCACTGGTGGTATATATGGAAAGCTCAGAACTGAGTATATATATATATTGATACTTGAAAAATAATCATCATCAAACTTTTTGTCCTTCCAATAATTTTTAACTCTTTCACCACTGTAAACCATAATGGACTCATCCAGATCAATGCATAGTAGAGTCCACTAAAGTTACATAGGGTTGAAAGGGTTAAGTACTCATTATGCTAATTAACTTTTGAACAACAAGGCTCTTAGTCTTATGTATGTCTATCGTATATTTTCTTCTTGGCAAACACTATATTCCTTCTTTGATATTATACATGACCAATCATTAAGGGAAAGTGCCCTCTCACACAGAGAAAACAGTCCCTGCAATGGTCCAATCTACACCTTAAAACCTCAACTATCTCTAGATTTTTTATTTTATTTTTAATTTTGCACATTTTTTGTTTTCAGATGACTTTGAATCCAATAAAGTAATAAAACAAAAGCCTTTTATCAGTCACTTCATTTTGAAATAATCTACCAAACATATGAAACTGGAATAAAATTAACTCACGAGTTTGAAGCAAACAGTAATGTAAAATCATTTAAAACATTTATGTCTGCAATTTGTCTTTGCTCTGACTAGTCTTTCCCACCTAAATTCAATTTCTCAACTTTTGAGATTGTAAAAGAATCATCATGGAAAAATTACTGGGAGATTGTCCAATAATTTAAGTAATAAACAGGTTTTTTTTCAATTAGGACTTGGCTGGTGTATTAAAATGAGCTAAGAATTATGAAACTATTTGAACAGTTTGCTCACAATCTTATAAACCAATTTGAGTGGGATAAATTTGCAGTATATTTCTTACTTTCGCCTTTAGAAATTCTGTTCCTTCTGGTGTAATCAGCTTTTCTGGGTCTGGGCTTGCCATTAGATGTGAAAAGTGTACGAGATTCGTCACTCCCTCTTCTCTACATAGCCGAGCAATGTTCCTAGCTCCAGTTATATGCACATCTTCCAGGGAGAACCTCCTGTGTATCAAAGAATACTTATAAATCGTATGAGCTACAGGCCAGATCTAACTTAAAGGGACATCACGTGAAGAGCCATATTTTTTTTAATGAATGTATGTGTTGCATGCACTTCCACTTATGGTACCCGGAGAGGAGCGCCGTCAGGAAACTACAACTTCTTTACCGCACTATGAAACCAAGGAATATGATTTCTAAGTTTGTGTTGGAACTTATTGAATACCCTTAGCAGTAATTATGCATCATCAGAAGTTAATTGCACACATGCCAATATTCAAAATTTAAATGAAGAAATATTTGTGGGCATCTCAGCATTATTTATAGAAACAGTGCTCTGGTTTATAAAGTGAAAGTCTTTTCATGACCACATCAAACTTAATTATCATTCTTTTATGCATTAATTCCAAATCATATTGTCGCAATCAAATGTACTTTATGGGTTTCACATTTACCCAAAAGTATGTATGGCTACGTACAGTATTAAGCCAATGATCCCTGATCTTTTGATCAGTATCTACCAATATGTTGAAAATTCATAAATATATGAGACAAGCTGGGGATGGGGGGTGAGAGGGTGTGTGGTTAATTTATATACAGTTATGCTTCAAGATTATGGAATCTCGTTTTGTTGAAATTGTTTGGGTCAGGGATAAAGTCGTTGATAACTAGTTTTCATCTGAGTGAAGATCCCTTACTTTGTGGGGTAGTCCTTATGTATAACATTGATGACAGTGTCGGAGTACTGTAAGGCCCTTCTGATCGAGTCTTCATCCTTCAAGTCAAATGGCTGAAATAAAACGAATGACATCAGTAACTGTAATTTAATCGCCATTAGGGTGGGACAATACCTCTAGCATGTGGCTAGTCCCATTTGATATCAGGACTAGTGAAAAATTTTCATTATTTATTATGGGAACATAGGTTTGGAAAGTAGAATTTTGTAAAATCTGCCATCGGGCTAGTACAAAGTTTGGAAGCTTTACTTTAACTTATGTTAATGCTGTAATATACTTCTGTGTTCATACTAATCCTTAAATGACCATAGCTGTTGATAGGGCGTTAAACAATACTAAACTAATCTCTATCAAACAAAGGTGAAATAATTAAAAGGCGACCCTATATATTTATATAATGTCAACATTAATTTATTGCCTGGTGAGACTTACAGACTTATTATTAAATGAGACAGATTGATACATGCCAAAACCTAGTAAACCTATACTGTCCTATAGATTGCAATATTCTGAATTTCATTCATATTTTTACTTTTGAAATGCAGCATTCCATAGCCATTTAAGCTAAATCTGACACACCTTTTTAACTTTTTTCTTCAGACGCACTTACGGTATTACTCTGGAATCACAGTTTTAACCTTTTTCACCCCTGTATACCATAATGGGCTCATCCAGATCAATGCATGGGAGAGTCTACTAAAGCTGCATAGGGGTGAAAGGGTTAAAATTCTATTTCCATACCCATGTATTTCCTTAAATGTACGGAAAGATGAACAGATCCTTTACTTACCATGAACTGTGTCTGTCCCAGATCTGAGGCTACCTTGAGGTGCTGGGCTCGGTACGCTTCGCCCCTGTAGGGTATGACGATCTTACTGCCATTCTTACCTACACAAACAAGATCACGAGACATCATAATAAGCGAAATACTTATGAAACCAGGAGCAGCATATATGGATAAATATATAAATGCAGTATGCAGGGTTAGACACTAACAATTTTCCTTACCTAGTCTAAAAGACAAGTTAAGAAATTAAACAACTAGTCATTGGTTGGTTTTACTTGTCCTTGCCTATGTAAATGCCGGGAATGGATCAGTATCAGATAAGGGAGAGGGTGGTGGAAATATAACTAGTCCGCAGGACTAAGGGCTATGGAACATTTACGAGTCCTTCTTATTGTTTAAACTAGTCCAGGACTAATGCACTAGTATTAGTGTGGACCCTGATATGTAGCTTACAAATGAACTTAAAAAGCTGATACATGTGTATTAAAATATAAAATAATAAAATAAAAATACCTTTGAAAGTATTTTTCTATATAATATGTATGTAAAAATAAACTGTGATATGTCTGTCATGCTTTGTAACAATCTGTCAAAAATCCATAACTGCCAAGTGACCCGATTTTGTCGGGTACCACCCGAAATTTTAGCCCTTCACTCGCTTTCATATTAAACTACAAACGCTGGGTTACGATTTTGACCCAGATTTTGTCAATTTTACCCGTTTAATGATTAATCATCAGAATCAATAATCGGTTCGTAATCAAAAGGTAGCTAATCATGCATAATCAGTTCATAGTTTTATGGGACTGAATCCAAATAAAGCGAGAACACTACTGTTACATAGGTTTTCTATTTTTTAGATAAATAGATAATAACCAACCAGTGTTTTGTTTTTGTTTATTTGGGACAAAGGTTGTTAGCACGCTCATTAGTCAAAGATCGATTATGACATAATATATATATATCTGTATATGTTATGTCATAATCTATATATATATCTATATATATTATGTCGTAATCTATATCTATTTATATATATTATGTCATAATCGATATCTATTTATATATATATATTATGTCATAATCGATCTTTGACTAATGAGCGTGCTAAACACCTTTGTTTGGGATGAAGCCTAGCTTTTTGTGAGAAGAAAATATTCAAACCAAGAATGAAAGTTTTCAGGAGTAAACTGAAAAATTTGGGAATTAGGCATAAACATGAAATATTTCATAAACAGTAATTATCTTCAATGAAGAATGGGGTCATTATTGGCCCAAAAATGTCCCCAGATAAAACACTGCCAACATCTATGCAGCTTTTCTTCTTTTTTTCTTTCTTTCTTTCAACATTACCATCGAACATACATGAAAATAGAAAAAATAAATAGCTTTCAATACACATACCTGTACAATGCACATTGTATACATTTGATTCTTGGGTGAAGCTCATATACTGATCATATTATATATGATGGAATTCGCAATCGATAATTGGAATCAGAAAGGCAAACAACATATTTTCAATCATAACCAATCGTCAACCCATCACTATTTCTAATAATTACACGTGTAGCATGCATATTTATTACAGGTTCATTGTAACATTACATATTTTCTAACATAATTATATAATACAGCATATACATGTATATCATACCCAATCTGTTGATAAGCTTTGTTCCTATGAAACCAGTTGCACCAAATACTGTAACAACATGTCCACTGAAGGAGGAGCGTCCGCCTCTTCCTCTACGGATGTTAGCCAGTTGACTGGAATCCCTGTGCTGGACTAAGTACACTCCACCTACAGCTCGAGGTATGTGCAACCCTGAAATACACAACTTTTTGTTTTTTAACTCATTCACCCCTACATATTTAAATTGGGACTTGTCCCGTCTATGATTTGGTAAGGTTCAAATGCATATATATATATACAGAGAGAGAGATTTCTATAATACTGAAACATCTGGGCTAGACTTATAGCAGATGAAGTGGTCAAAATAAAACTTATGACTTAGGAAGATGAGGTCACTAAACAAAACCCTACATATCTTTTTGATATCTTCTCTTATACAAGAGGCCCAGAGGGCCTGTATTGCTCACCAAGATAATAAAGCAACCATGGGAAATTATTCTTATTACATAAAATCCTTCCGATGGTACAGAAGAAGAATTTAAAGACTTTTACTTCAAATTTCCCTTTTAAGCCCCACGCCTCTGCAACCAAAGGGGCCACATCCATTATTTATACAAGACTACGACCCCTAAGCCAAAGGATGCTCCAGGAAAAATTTGGATAAAACCCCTCAAACAGTATAGAAGGAGAACGATTTTAAAGATTTAAACCTCGAGTTTCTCCTTTTGAGGCCTGCCCCTCTACACCCAAAAGGGCCACACCCAAGGACCAAAGGCATCCCCCTGGTCCAAGGATGCTCCAGACTAATTGACGTTAAAATCTGTTTATCCGTACGGTAGAAGAGGTATTTTAAAGGTTTTATCTCTATTTCCCCTATTGGGAGTCGCCTCTCTGCCCCGAGGGGGTCAAACCGCCAGTTAAACAAAATCAGGTGCCCTTGGCCCAAAGATGCTTCAGACTACATTGGGATGAAATCCCTTTATCCCTACGGTAGAAGAAGGGTTTTAAAGGTTTTATCTCTATTTCCCCTATTGGTTGTTGCCCCTCTGCCTCCAGGGGGGAGCAACACCCACCATTTATACAAAACTGAGTGCCCTTGGTCTGAGGATGCTCCAGATCCAAAATCCTTTAATCCCTAAGGATTTCAAAGGTTTTACCTTTATTTCCCCAATTGGGCCCTGCCCCTCTGCCCCCAGGGGGGCCAAACCCATCGTTTAATTTATACAAAATTAAGTCCCCTTGGTCCAAGGATGCTCCATACTAAATTGGGATCAAATATCAAAATCCCTACGATAGAAGAAGGATTTTAAAGGGTTTACCTCTATTTCCCCTATCGGGCCCCGTTCCTCTACCCCCAGGAGGGCCACGTGCGCACACCCACTGTTTATACAAAATCGAATGGCCTTGGCCTAAGGATGATTCAGACCAAATTTAGTCAAAATCTACTTTGACGACGAATGACAGACGACGGATGCTGCAGTATAACATATCTCCTTCACAGTAGTCACATTCCAGATTGGGAAACTTAAGATGGCCCGGAACATGATCACATCAAACATTTTACACAATTTCTCCTGTTGTGACTTGTAAAAAGTCTTCAGGTTTACGCTGTAATAACTGAAGAGCACATATAACTAATACTCCTATAACATAAGAAGCCTTTTCTCTATTGGATATGATTTTGCCGACTGGGACACGGCGCCTGTAACTATCTGCTGGATATATAATGAAAAATACCAGGTTTCTATTGAAAATGTCTCAGCCCGACCAGGAGGACATGCAATGGTATCATTTTCAAAGCCTTAAAGAACAGTCACGCTCATTATCTTGTATTTTCCCATGTATATATACATGTTGACACAACCGCTCGAAGTGCTCATTCACTTGCTTCCTGCAGCATGTCTTTAACTGTCTGCTATAACATCAAAATTGTGTCACAATATCAAAATATCAATTTTTAACTGTACTTCATACTTCATTTTTGAAAGGCAAATAAATGTTACATATGCAAAGCAAACAAAATAAAATAAGGCAAAGATTTATGAGGTTATAATGTAAATCACCCAAGATGTAAAACTATCAATTAACAAATATCGCAGACTAGCAAAAGCTACACTCTTTTCGGGCTTTTAAGTTGGAAGGCCTAGGTCATTTCCAGCAATAAATATTGGAAGTGACAGCAGCGAACGGCTAAATCACATTCGAGATTTAACAAGAGCGAAGCACGATCAAACTTGCATCTAATTATATAAATTTCAAAATAAATGTGTTGTTAAGAACATAATAGAAAATCGTGTTTGCGTTTTTCATTCAAACGATCATAAGTCTGCTCAACTTACTTCCAAGGAGAGCGACCTGACCTACGGTCATGGCAGCCATTTTTGCTGGAAGGACGTCTGTAGCGTACAAGCGTTTGAATGTCAAGAATACGCAAAGCTTTATTTTGAGCGTCTAAACAACTTGTGAATAACTTCCGGTGAACACAACAGCGCTCGACGACTGATTGACGAACACAAGAAACAAATAATTCCCCTACATATCCAGAGTATTGGACAACTCATATTTAATTGATAGGTAAAGCATTATTTATTTCATGTTAATGATATCGTAATCGCTTAGGGCAAATTGAATGAGGGACACACTTGAAATTAGCGGCCGCCAAAACAAAGTTGAGGGGAGGGGGGGGGTATTTCGCCCTAGTACACATGTAACGATCTTAATGAAAAAAAGACTTCTGGGAGACATAGGAAAACTTCAAGTGAGATTTGATTAGCCATACCAAGGACACGGAATTAGATTATCAAAGTCTAGCCATGCACCACAAAACAAAACATGACTAAAACGTTTCAGCCTAAAAAAATAGTTGTTTGTGATAGTAAGGGCGATTTTGGATAAATAAATAACCCATTTATCGATATACTTGACTGAGGTATGTGTTGTGTCATAGCAACAGACTCACAGAGTTAATTCCTGTCAAGGAAGATAATGAGTAGATTTTTGTTGTCAGCATCTCAAATTAAAACTCTCCGATACCACAAATTCTGTGCTGATCAATACCAAACGGTGTCCAGAGATTTTGACGTTTTAATAGAGAAGTGTGGTCCCACATCATACATATATCTGTGAAAATGTCTAAGTCTGGTGTCGTGACCAGAGGAAACTCGGGCTACCTAAAAATGATCGGTCGCCGGGTGAGACAGATAATAAACATGAGATTTGCTTTGAGTCGAGGGTAGGTAATTTCAGAATCTTGCCCCCATGATTAAGATTCCTCCAAATACGTTTTACAGAGATAAGTCTGCATAGGAATTGATGAACACTGTACATGTATACTTTTAACTTAGCATTAATTATATATATAACCCTGTCATCAAAGTGTTGACACTTTTCAATTTAATGTGCAACCAAAATGTCAAAAAGTTTCGAGTATAAAAATAGTATCAACACATTGACAAAAGCTAGGAGCTTATATTACAGTGATGTTAATTACAGCGAAAGATGACCCTCATGTCACATTATTGTTTTTGACTATTCCAAAATGTTTAAACCAATTATCAGCAGATGAAGACACATTTGACCTCTTCCAATTCAAAGGTTGGAATAGATCATTATGATATTTCCATATTTCCATTTCGAGTGAATAATTGAAGAAAAAATGTGTATGAAGTCAGTCAAAAGTCACTATGACTGTCGAATATAGCTTTAATTGTCATTCATGAATTTCTTGTTTCAGGGTTTGAAGTAAAAAAAAAAAGAGGAAGATGTCGTACATGTTGCAGCATCTGCACAATGGATGGCAAGTGGACCAGGCCATCCTAGCGGAGGAGGACAGGGTGGTTGTGATCAGATTCGGCCACGATTGGGACCCCTCGTGTATGGTAATGGACGAAACGCTGTACAAATGTGCCGAGAAAATGAAAAACTTTGCGACAGTGTATCTGGTTGACATTACAAAGGTGCCAGACTTTAACAAAATGTACGAGTTGTACGACCCGTGTACAATCATGTTCTTCTACAGGAACAAACACATCATGATAGATTTGGGCACAGGAAACAACAACAAAATCAACTGGTCGATGGAGGACGTGCAGGAGTTTATTGACATTGTCGAGACCGTATTCCGCGGTGCTAGAAAAGGACGTGGTCTGGTGGTGTCCCCGAAAGATTACTCAACAAAATACAGATACTGATCATATACTTATATAGATCTTCTCATTCTCATTTTAGTTCTGTATGTATGTCAGTTTGAAATGTTGTGTTTGGTGCAATTATTTCATGTTTTGGGGGGGGGGGGGTTTTAACCCTTTCACCCCTATGTAACTTTCGTAGACTCTACCATGCATTGATCTGGATGAGTCCATTTTGGTCTACAGTGGTGAAAGGGTTAAGGAGGGAAAAAATCATGAATGATGATCCGAAAGTTGAGTTTCTGCAACATTATCACTGTTCCATATTCTTTTACAGATTTTGATAATCTCGGCAAAAACATTTTTTATCAATAAGTCTTTTAAATTTTGGATGTAAACAGTTTTAACAAACACACAGGCTAAAAGTTTACCAATGTATGTACAATGGATACAAGGAAGGAACTCGATTTCTGGTTATTAATGCAAAATGTTTTATAAAGACCGAGATTTTGGACTTTAATTAGCAATCTGAAGTCCGTCAGCAATATATTTGTACATGTATGCTGTATATCAATGAGAAAATATCTAAAAGTGATGCAAAGATTATGAGTGTCATGAGATATCTTGCATGGTAATAACTGCATTGTATCAATCAATAAATTGTGAAATATTGAATAGCTTTATTTTTCTTCAATCAGCAATGAAAGATATATTTTAATGAAGAAAGTAGTATTAAGACACCACATTATTGACTTCAAACAGTGGATGAAATGAACAATAAACTTATGTTTGAAAGGAATGCTGAAATTAAACAGCATTCAACATAAATATTCTAAAAGTCTGGAATTTCTTTTGCAAACTCTGGCTTGATAGGTAGAGGTACAAGCACCATCTGAATCGAGCATCTTACCACCAAACACAAATACATTTGGACCATCCTCTCACTCTTACCACCAAAACACATATTCTTAACATCCTTTCACGCTAACCACCAAAACATACATTCTAACCATCCTCTCACCCTTACCACCAAAACATTCATTCTTACCATCCTTACCACCAAACATACATTCTTACCATCCTCTCATCCTTACCATCAAAACATACATTCTTACCATCCTCTCACCCTTACCTCCAAAACATACATTCTAACCATCCTCTCACCCTTACAACCAAAACATACATACTTACCATCCTTTCACCCTTACCACCAAAACATTCATTCTTACCATCCTTACCATGCAACATTCATTCTTACCATCCTTACACCATTACCACCAAAACATACATACTTACCATCCTTTCACCCTTACCACCAAAACATACACTTTTACCATCCTCTCATCCTTACCATCAAAACATACATTCTTTTTTTTTTTAATTTAATTTTTTTATTTTCAAAGATTTTCAGAACATGTACATTATACAGAACATCACATCAACACATATCCACACATTCACACATATCTACTATTGAAATTATCAGCAACCTCATCATCCTCATCATCNTGAGGTCAAGCTCTACTAATTTTAACCATTTTTCCCATTCAGAAGTAAATCTTCTAAGGCCTTGTTCCCCTTTACCACGAGCAATATATTTCTGAACCTTATAGTAATCTTTAATCGAATTGACTAAAGCCGTCACATTAAGTGACTTATGAAAACATCTGGTTTTGTATATATATTGTTTAATGAACAGAGTAATTTCATTATCAATTCTGGTATAAATTCCAGTTTGGTTGATAAAACCAAAGATCATTGATTCTTTATTTAGTGAGAAAGGAATAGTGAGAGCACTTAAAAGACTTTCAAAATTGCTCAGAAATTTTTGTACTTCCCTGCATTCCCATAAAACGTGGGTAATTGTCTCCCTTTCTATGATACAAAAAACACAGTGTGGGTTATTTACAAGTCCAATTTTGCATAAATAAGAATTGGTTGTTAAAATATAATGATTAATTCTAAATTGCAACCATTGCAATTTTGTATTTTTTGTAACCCTGAAAGGAATAGCATATATTTTCCCCCAAGTTTCCTGATTATAGTCGAATATAGTTCCCCATTTTGTTTGAGCAGTTATTGATGCATTATTTCTGATAAGTATATTATAGAAGTCTTGAGAACCTTTTTTCTTCTTTAAAATTATTACAAGATGTAACGGTATAATTGGGTATATCACATTTTTGTTTGGCAAATTAAGTTGTTTCAGATAATTCTTTATGCTTGTTATCAAGCCATGATATTCTAGATAATTAGTTATTGTACCATGTAGATCACAAAATTCCTTAAAAGACAAGAAAGAGTAGTCTGTGTTGTTTTTCAACAAATCATTAATTATCATAATCCCGTTTTTAAACCACTTACTATAAAAAACAACTTTATTACCAACAGAAATATTTTTGTTATACCATAAGGGTGTCTTAAGTAGGGCAAAATTCTCATTTTTAAACAGCTCCTCTTTTGCTCTTAATTTATACCATGCCCTAAACACATCTTTCCAAAACACATTTTTGCAATTTCCTTGAACTTTATTAAGGTACTCGTTTCCTGAGTTAGCCAAGATATGAGGATTTACACAAGATTTTAAAATGCTTACCCATTTACCTTCTGATCTAAAAAACCTTCTTATCCAACTTATTTTCAGAGCTTCAATAAAAGACATTAAATTAACCATTTTTAGCCCACCTTCTTGATAATTTTGGATTATTATGTCCCGTTTAATCTTATCAGTTTTGCTATTCCATAAAAAATTGAAAAGAACAGAATTGAGCTGTTTTATAAATTTTTCAGATGGATTAGGTAAGGAAATGAACAGATGATTCATCTGAGAAATTAATAAAGATTTAATGACATTAATTCTACCAATAGGTGTGAGCAACCTTCTACTCCAGCTCTTAATAAGAGCTTTAAGTTTAACTAATTTTTTATCAAAGTTCATTTTAGGTATTTTGCAAAGATCTACATGGAAATCTATCCCAAGAAGAGTAAATTTATTAACTCCCCATCTAAGATTCATATTTGGAAGGAGAACATCATTGCTGTATTTTTTACTGCCTATCCAGACAACTTCAGTTTTACCTACATTTACTTTAAGACCAGATATTTTTGCATAAATATTTAGTTCATCAACCGCCCCTTTCAGTGATTTTTCAGAACCATCTAATACCAGAGAAGTGTCATCTGCATACTGAGAGTTTAAGATGGGACAGTTATTAACCTTTATACCAGTTATACTCTTATTGTTTCTAAGGCGGATTGCTAAAACTTCTGCACATAGTATAAAAATATATGGAGCGATGGGATCTCCTTGACGACATCCACGATTTATTTTGAAAAAAGCTGATAAATTACCCCCCTGGTTTATAGCAGAGCTTGAATTACAGTGTAAAATTTTGACCCAATTTCTGATATCGTTTCCAAATCCAAAATATCTAAGTACTTCGTCTATGAATTTCCAAGAGACAGAATCGAAAGCCTTTTCAAAATCAACCATTAATAACATTCCAGGGATATCATTTTCCTCTGTATATTGCATAATGTCATAAACCAGGCGAGTATTTTCTCCTACATAGCGTCCCGATATAAATCCTGATTGATCAGAGTTTATAATTTTTTGTAAAACTAATTTGAATCTACTTGTTATTGATCCAGAAGCAATTTTGTATACAATGTTTAATAGAGAAATAGGTCTCCAATTCTTTATAAAATACTTTGATTTATTAGCCTTAGGTATACAAGTAATTATTCCCTGACGTTGTGTAATAGATAGCTGACCATTTGAAAAACCATAATTTAATGCCCTAACCACAAAATTACCTAACTGATTCCAAAAACATTTATAAAATTCTGATGTGAATCCATCTGAGCCTGGGCTCTTATTACTTTTCATATTCTTTAGTGTTATAGATGCTTCTTTAAGTGTAATAATACCTTCCAAACTGACCGCTTCTTCAACATTTAATCTTGGAACATCAAAATCTTCTAAAAATTCATCCAAAACATACATTCTTACCATCCTCTCATCCTTACCATCAAATCATTCATACATTCTTACCATCCTTTCACCATTACCACCAAAACATACATTCTTACCATGCAACATTCATTCTTACCATCCTTACACCATTACCACCAAAACATATATTCTTACCATCCTCTCACCCTTACCATCAAAACATTCATTCTTACCATCCTCTCACCCTTACCACCATAACATACATTCTTACCATCCTCTCATCCTTAGCATCAAAACATACATTCTTACTATCCTCTCACCCTTACCACCAAAACATACATTCTTACCATCCTCTCACCCTTACCACCAAAACATACATTCTTACCATNTAGAATAACAACTAATAACTTAATATAAATAGTCATAATATTCAGGGTTAGTTGAGGTCAAGCTCTACTAATTTTAACCATTTTTCCCATTCAGAAGTAAATCTTCTAAGGCCTTGTTCCCCTTTACCACGAGCAATATATTTCTGAACCTTATAGTAATCTTTAATCGAATTGACTAAAGCCGTCACATTAAGTGACTTATGAAAACATCTGGTTTTGTATATATATTGTTTAATGAACAGAGTAATTTCATTATCAATTCTGGTATAAATTCCAGTTTGGTTGATAAAACCAAAGATCATTGATTCTTTATTTAGTGAGAAAGGAATAGTGAGAGCACTTAAAAGACTTTCAAAATTGCTCAGAAATTTTTGTACTTCCCTGCATTCCCATAAAACGTGGGTAATTGTCTCCCTTTCTATGATACAAAAAACACAGTGTGGGTTATTTACAAGTCCAATTTTGCATAAATAAGAATTGGTTGTTAAAATATAATGATTAATTCTAAATTGCAACCATTGCAATTTTGTATTTTTTGTAACCCTGAAAGGAATAGCATATATTTTCCCCCAAGTTTCCTGATTATAGTCGAATATAGTTCCCCATTTTGTTTGAGCAGTTATTGATGCATTATTTCTGATAAGTATATTATAGAAGTCTTGAGAACCTTTTTTCTTCTTTAAAATTATTACAAGATGTAACGGTATAATTGGGTATATCACATTTTTGTTTGGCAAATTAAGTTGTTTCAGATAATTCTTTATGCTTGTTATCAAGCCATGATATTCTAGATAATTAGTTATTGTACCATGTAGATCACAAAATTCCTTAAAAGACAAGAAAGAGTAGTCTGTGTTGTTTTTCAACAAATCATTAATTATCATAATCCCGTTTTTAAACCACTTACTATAAAAAACAACTTTATTACCAACAGAAATATTTTTGTTATACCATAAGGGTGTCTTAAGTAGGGCAAAATTCTCATTTTTAAACAGCTCCTCTTTTGCTCTTAATTTATACCATGCCCTAAACACATCTTTCCAAAACACATTTTTGCAATTTCCTTGAACTTTATTAAGGTACTCGTTTCCTGAGTTAGCCAAGATATGAGGATTTACACAAGATTTTAAAATGCTTACCCATTTACCTTCTGATCTAAAAAACCTTCTTATCCAACTTATTTTCAGAGCTTCAATAAAAGACATTAAATTAACCATTTTTAGCCCACCTTCTTGATAATTTTGGATTATTATGTCCCGTTTAATCTTATCAGTTTTGCTATTCCATAAAAAATTGAAAAGAACAGAATTGAGCTGTTTTATAAATTTTTCAGATGGATTAGGTAAGGAAATGAACAGATGATTCATCTGAGAAATTAATAAAGATTTAATGACATTAATTCTACCAATAGGTGTGAGCAACCTTCTACTCCAGCTCTTAATAAGAGCTTTAAGTTTAACTAATTTTTTATCAAAGTTCATTTTAGGTATTTTGCAAAGATCTACATGGAAATCTATCCCAAGAAGAGTAAATTTATTAACTCCCCATCTAAGATTCATATTTGGAAGGAGAACATCATTGCTGTATTTTTTACTGCCTATCCAGACAACTTCAGTTTTACCTACATTTACTTTAAGACCAGATATTTTTGCATAAATATTTAGTTCATCAACCGCCCCTTTCAGTGATTTTTCAGAACCATCTAATACCAGAGAAGTGTCATCTGCATACTGAGAGTTTAAGATGGGACAGTTATTAACCTTTATACCAGTTATACTCTTATTGTTTCTAAGGCGGATTGCTAAAACTTCTGCACATAGTATAAAAATATATGGAGCGATGGGATCTCCTTGACGACATCCACGATTTATTTTGAAAAAAGCTGATAAATTACCCCCCTGGTTTATAGCAGAGCTTGAATTACAGTGTAAAATTTTGACCCAATTTCTGATATCGTTTCCAAATCCAAAATATCTAAGTACTTCGTCTATGAATTTCCAAGAGACAGAATCGAAAGCCTTTTCAAAATCAACCATTAATAACATTCCAGGGATATCATTTTCCTCTGTATATTGCATAATGTCATAAACCAGGCGAGTATTTTCTCCTACATAGCGTCCCGATATAAATCCTGATTGATCAGAGTTTATAATTTTTTGTAAAACTAATTTGAATCTACTTGTTATTGATCCAGAAGCAATTTTGTATACAATGTTTAATAGAGAAATAGGTCTCCAATTCTTTATAAAATACTTTGATTTATTAGCCTTAGGTATACAAGTAATTATTCCCTGACGTTGTGTAATAGATAGCTGACCATTTGAAAAACCATAATTTAATGCCCTAACCACAAAATTACCTAACTGATTCCAAAAACATTTATAAAATTCTGATGTGAATCCATCTGAGCCTGGGCTCTTATTACTTTTCATATTCTTTAGTGTTATAGATGCTTCTTTAAGTGTAATAATACCTTCCAAACTGACCGCTTCTTCAACATTTAATCTTGGAACATCAAAATCTTCTAAAAATTCATCCAAAACATACATTCTTACCATCCTCTCATCCTTACCATCAAATCATTCATACATTCTTACCATCCTTTCACCATTACCACCAAAACATACATTCTTACCATGCAACATTCATTCTTACCATCCTTACACCATTACCACCAAAACATATATTCTTACCATCCTCTCACCCTTACCATCAAAACATTCATTCTTACCATCCTCTCACCCTNACATCCTTACCATGCAACATTCATTCTTACCATCCTTTCACCATTACCACCAAAACATACATTCTTACCATCCTTTCACCCTTACCACCAAAGCATACATTCTTACCATCCTCTAACCCTTACCACCAAAACATACATTCTTATCATCCTCTCACCTTTACCATCAAAACATACATTCTTACCATCCTCTTCCCCTTACCACCAAAACATACATTCTTACCATCCTCTCACCCTTACCACCAAAACATACATTCTAACCATCCTTACCATGCAACATTCATTCTTACCATTCTTACACCATTACCACCAAAACATACAATCTTACCATCCTTTCACCATTACCACCAAAACATACATTCTTACCAACCTTTCACCCTTACCACCAAAACATACATTTTTACCATCCTCTCGCCCTTACCATCAAATCATTCATTCTTACCATCCTTACCACCGAACATACATTCTAACCATCCTTTCACCCTTACCACCAAAACATACATTCTAACCATCCTCTCACCCTTTCCAACAAAACATACATTCTAACCATCCTCTCACCATTACCACTTAAACTCATACATTCTGATCACCTTCTAATCTTTACCATCAAAACACATACATTCTGACCATCCTTTTCACCTATGCAACAAAAACACCTACATCCTGAACAAGCTCTCACCCTTACCACAAAAACACATTATACTGTCCATCCTTTCAATTTTTCAACCAAAACACACATTTTAACCATCCTAGCTCTCACATTTCAACATAAAAACACCAATGTTCTGACCACCTTTCACTTTTTCAACAAAAACACATACATATGTTGACCATCCTTTTCACCTATACCACCAAAACACCTACATCCTGAACAACCTATCACTCTTACCACAAAAACATTCATTTTGACCATCCCCTCACATTTTACCAAAAAAACACCCATGTTTTAACCATCCATTTATCTTTACCACCCCAACACATACGATCTGTCCATCCTCTAACCTTTACAACCAAAAAAGCATGCATTCTACACTAGAGGACAACTATTTGACAGGTCTCTTGGGCAAGAGTACCTTTACCATTGACCTTGACTATCAAGGCTGAATCAAGGTCAAGAGGATGACCAAAGGGTGTGTTAAAATCTTAACACTTGTTCAGTTATCCAAGGTCAAGAATTTGGTGCATGGACATATAAAATGGATGTCTAGGTCATAACTCTACTCTATGGCTTGTCCAAGATCATCATATCAGTATTACTTTGCCCATAGCCACAGATGTTGTTGTAACCTTGACCCAATGTCATATCTCCAAGGTCAAGGTCTTTGTACATTGACACCTGAAATGGGTGTCCAGGCCATGGCCACCACCCTGTATCCTTGTGCTGGATCTTGACCTTAATACACAGCATCGTTTTCTATAAACCAGCTAGGTATGTGCTGCAACCTTGACCCAATGTCATATCTCCAAGGTCAAGGGGTTTGTACATTGACACCTTAAATGGGTGTCCAGGCCATGGCCACCACCCTGTATCCTTGTGCTGGATCTTGATCTTAATACACAGCATCGTTTTCTATAGACCAGTTAGGTATGTGCTGCAACCTTGACCCAAGTTATGCATACATCCAAGCTCAAGGTCATGACACATCGACATCTGAAATGTTGGCCAGGGCATTCTTTATAATTTAGCTAGGATGTTGATCATACATCTATACATCACAGCATTATTGTTTATGACATATATACTCTGCTGCCACTTTCATCCAAGGTCAAGGTCATTCAAGATATCGTTTTTCAATTGAATGCCTGAAACAAAACATGAAAAATGTAAAACCATCTTAAACAGGGGCTATTGTTTATTGCAATAAAAATGTCATTAAAAATGTGTTGTTACCATTGGCAATTAAGATATCAAGATTGTTGTGGGTATTTCAGACCAGGTGACTAGACGGAACCTAGTGATAAAAACAGGAGAGGAAAATTTCAAAGTGTCAAAACAACTGAAATTCCAACCTTTGACCTCTGAACTAAAGAGGAGCACTCAACCTAACGAACTGACCTATCTGGTAAATGATAGCCCTCACGCCTGGTTTTGCTTTACAACCATTATACCATTTTTAAACATTACATGCCACGATTATAAAATTATCAAACAGTTAATCTCTGTGCAAAACTCACTATTAGTAATGATGCAAGTTAATATGCCAACATCAATTAAATCAAATGATGAGGATGTATTATTTCTCCGTCCAATGGTTAATTTTTTTTTTACAGGAAATGTGATATTCTTTTCCCAGTAGACCGGTGGTTTCTGAACGGATTTTTTCATCAATAAAACTCTTTCCTATAACCTGAGTGTTAAAGATGCATGTTTTTTCAGATAATATAAATATTAAAGAGCCACAATCATCCAGGTTTATTTTTCGGGAAAATGGTGAAACAGTCATACTACAAAACTAAACAGACTTTTATTTCATATTTAAAAATGCGGTAAGCTCACTTCTAATGCAGAGACTGATGTAAATCATAGTGGTACCCAAAGACAAGTTTTTTCGTGCGTCATATTTTGAAAGAGTTATCTCCCTTGGACAAAGAAATAATTTAAACACGAAAATTGTATTAATTTGACAAATATAGAATCATTTTGGTACGAAATTCATGGAGAAACAATTCAATTGTACTAAAATCTAATAATAATGTAGTTTTACAACAATATAAATTGTATTTACTAGATCCGCAGTAACGCGTGAAAGGTCACAGGTCACCAACATGGGCGACTGAGGGCGAGCGGATCGCCAGCGCAGTTTACACGAAATTCCTGACGTGTTTTAGACAAGAATTGATTACTAGCCATCGGACTCTGAATCATCTACCTACTACAGAAACGTGAAGTGGACTGTTTACAAGGAGAAAACTATGCTATCGACAATATGATATATACAGGGAAGTGGTAAACTGGTTTCGGAAAGTATAGAACGGACAATGTCGCTGTCACTGGTTTCGTTGTCAACCATCAACGATCTTAGATCACTTCCACTTAATCGATCCGTCTGAGATAATAACGGACTTTCTTGTCACCCTGTTATCATTTGTTCTGACTGATTGGACTCTTGAATCGTAAGTAACTTTAATAACGGAGATAGGAGTTTGTTGGAACAAGCTAGGCGTTGTATCTGGTACGGGGATTTAACTGGAATTGAATGTGACACCGATAAGATACTGTATCAATACATTTTATGGACAGGCTCTTCATTACAGGATTATATTTAAAGTCCCTACACACAGGAAACCCTTTGGCAGTTCTGGATGAGCTCGAAATTGACCACCATCCCTGAACTAGACTGACAAAAGTATCCACAAATGTAGTCTCCAACTTAAATGGCATCTTACAACTATAACCAACGAGGTCAGCCACAGAAACCAGTCCCAGCCCCCCGGGGGGCCAGATCCCCCAGTTCACCACATGGGAACCCAATGTCGCTCGTAATGGACCGACCTATGTCGTCGCAGGTGATGGCTGCGGCAGCAGCTGGAATGGCTGCGTCGGGACAAGCAATGAATGACAATCGTGCAAAGGCTGTTTTGAAGGAGGCCGTAGATGCAGTGGTCAACAGCTTCGCCAAACATTCGCATGGATATGGACGAGGTATAAATGGTGTCATATTAAATGTAAACAGTCAAACCTCATGTTATCTTCAGATTTACTTTACTATCAAATCCAAATTGAATGGAATGTTATGGAAGATATATATTACAATAAGATTTTCATATGGATTACCATATTAATTAATTATATATATAATCTTCAGGACGATTACAAAATTTCGCTTGATTTTAATGTATGATTTGGGTTATCCAAATTTGTCATTTAATGAGGTTTGACTCCTAGAATTTGATTTAAAATTTCTATAATCACAAATTCAGCATTGAATTTTGATTTAGTGTTGAGAATATGCATCACTTCAAAATTCATGTTCCATGATCATGACCATCATCATTAACATAAATTCAATTTCAATTGATTTTGATTAATAATTATGTAACGATTAAAGAAAATAATACCCCCAAAAAACATTATACATGTATTAATGAACTTGTAAGTCAAATAAAAAACATTATACATGTATTAATGAACTTGTAAGTCGATCACTCTTCCAAGCTTTCGGGCTTAACCCTTCGTTTTATACATGTAGGTATCCGTAAGTTGAAGAGAGGGTATATCTTTATTTTGAAATACATATTATATCAATGTATTTTAATTAGATAAATTAAGGGAAATTAATCCATTTCCCATTGTTTGGAATAATATAAGGGATCTTAAAAAGAACTTGAAAGTACCCCAGCAATAAGAGTAAACGAGACCCACCAGCCCAATTTCTGTGCTTTAACATGTTGGTATGGTTTTTAGATGGGTTGTAATTACCCTCTGGAAGCGAGCTAGAGCTTATAATAATTTAACAATTACATTTACACTGGATAGATATTCTCAGGGTTAATTAATTAGTAGCTATAACACACATGTGCAGTATTGTAGTATGTATTATTTGATTAGTGTGCTTTACAGAAGTGCTAGATTTACTTAAAAATGGCAAACTAATTACATTCCAATCATATTTGCTTGCTGAATGGTGCTAATGGACAAAAGGACCCAATATGCTAATTGCATTGGTAGCCCTTTGTCTAATCATATTAACACTATAGCTACCTCTAAATTAGATAGAGTAACCAAAAACATGCTGCAGCCAATGCAAGCAGATGATGTTTTGAAGATAAGACCGTTGTCACTGACCAAATAAGGCCAAACGAAATAACTGTTAGTTTTGCTTTTGCTGTCAAAAGGCAAGATTGGAAGGTACTACGGAAAACCTTTTGAAACTTTTTTAATTTTCTCAAAAAAAGTTTAGAAATACATCCTTACATGTAGCACATATGCATGTATGAAGACAACATTTCAGATTTTAACAGTAATTCATGTTTAAAATTAATGGGGAAAAAGTTTCTAGTACATTGAAGGAAAAGGAAAAGCGCATCCTGGGTTCTTTGGCCAGAACAGCCACAGTACAAATATGTGAAATTAATTAATATTTTGAACTTCACCTTGTTACTATTTTTATCATGGTGGTACTAAGCCAATATATATATTGCTTTTAAAATTCTCTCAATGCATGTAAGGGTATCTGCGATATGTATATGTTACATTTTGAGTTGGTAGGTCTATTTATAGAGATTGCACATATATATATACAACAGAAATATAAATATATATACATGTACATACTCATGTTAATTTGTGATTCACGCTTATAAATTCGCCCTTGGCAGAAATTCCCTATCACCTATATATGTTTACCACATTCTGTGTACATGTGTACCAGATAAATGTTACATTTGACCATTCATTTGGTCAGTGATAAGTGTATGTGTATACATGTTAAGATACTATCAGAAATATTTAGTGAATATGGAGTGGGATGAATTGACCCAGGAACCTCTTGCTCCTCGGTAATATCCCCCACCCCATCCACCAGTGATCCCTACCCCCAATATATCAATACCTCCACCAACCCAACATTCCATCGGCACCATATCTTTCCTGAAGAACATCCTGTCCTGGCCTTCTTGACCCTTAATTCCCAACCCCCTTACCCCCTGA